CGTGTTTCTTATCAGTGCAGGTTTATTTAAAAAAAGATTGTAACACTGAGCAACTGTATAATGCTATTAATGAGGAACCAAGATGGTTAACTCGTTAAATACTTAAACCATTGCAGAACAGCATTCATGAAAGTGGGTTCTGATGAATTTTGCAGGCGATACAGCATGGAATAATAATGCAAAAATCATAATTTTAAATATACTTTAGCAAGACTAATATTTTAAAGCCACGCTGCCCTGTCCTGGCTTTCCGAATAGATTTCGGTGATCGTCAAGCGACTAGAAATGGCAGAAAGGACTGTGTGTGGGAACAGCGTTAATCCCGGTCTTGGTGTATTGCCTTCGGAGCTGTCCTAGCAGTGAAGGTGGCTTTGCTGTTGTGGAGGCCACGCAGCGGGCAGCGGCTTGGACGTGCTCTGCTGTATAGCATCTGTACGTGAAGCACAGGGAGTTACTGGTTCTGCAGTTTGGCAGCTGGTGTTTGGCAAAGAGCGAGGGGAAGGTGGGGAGAGACACTTTGCAGTAATCTCCCGTAAACCTCTCAGAAATGGGAGAAGGCCATTCAGGGTCGTAGGGGGTTCTGAAAGGTGGTAAGAGAGTCATCGAGGAGGATGGCCTGGCGATGGATGAGGTGGAAGGAGGAGCTGGATGGTTCAGGAAGCTAGCAGGAAAGCAGCTCATTGTGGTGAATAGAATCTTCTTCTAAATTGGAAGGTGTGAGAACAGCTGATAGAGCTCATGAGCAAACGTGATTGTAGGAAAGCACGCCCCAGCAAAGCTGCTCTTTGTCTTGCATCTCGCTCCCTTTTTGGCACCCCTCTCCATTCGCAGCAGCCTCAGGGGTCGACAGCCCTGGTGTTCCAGTGGTTGAAGAGCTCTCGGGAGGAGGAGGAGTACTTGTTGCTGTGGCTTCTCCTCATGTGAGAGCAAAACCAGCTGCCCGTGGGAGCTCAGTTCCTTCTCATCCCTTCACTTAAGTGTCTCATTGGTGCTGCTCCATTCCAGCCCTCCGATTCCTGAGCAGTCAAGAAAAGGAGAGGCCAGATGCAGTCATCAAGAGCTTTATTATACAGAGCCAAAAGTTCAATGACTCTAAGAGATGTTCCTTTGGTTGTTCTAGTCCCTTATTGGTTTTGCTCTTAGGAAAATCAAGGGAAATTTTATATTCCAACATAAACCAGAGTTTCCTGTGCAGCCAAAGCCTACCCTTTGATAGAACTCCACAGGGCGTGTGGAATAAATTCTGTATGTAGACAGCGATCTCTGATTCTCCAGCCAGCAAGGTTAAGGCATTAATATTGCATATATAGTGAGAGCCTGAGTTCAAATGCTTCTTAAAATGAAGACAAAGTATAAAAATCCAGGCTTGCATTATGAATACCATCTTCAACGGTGTATGGGAGGAAAGCTTTGACATCACTGGTATTTCCTCCGGAATTAAATCATGCTTGCAAATGTATATAAAACTGATGGTCATGCGTAGAACGTGTTAATGACCAGGTGGTGAAATGAATTTCACTCTTCCGTTTAAAATCAGTGAAGGGTGTGATGGCATTCACAGCTTCGTAGTGGGGGAAAAAAAAGACTGTCAGAGCATGGCAGTGTACTAGCACTGCTTTGCCCGCAGACCACGGCAGGCAACTCCCTGCCTCATACAATATCTATTTGATTTATTCTGGCTTTTCCTTAAGGAGACTCAAGAAAGAAGATAAAACAATTCCCCTTCCCAAAACCAAGCCCAGCGTGATGATGCCCTGTGCGTGGATGTGTTTGCAGGTCCAAGATCGTGTAATCTCGCATCTGAAGCTCCTTCTCCCTTTGCTCTTGCAGACGCTCCCAGCACAACACACCGTTACGATTTAGGGCAGGTACTTCTTGGCTGCCAGAAGTCATCTGTTGAGTGCCTGCCGTAGAGGTTTCAATTTCCCAAAATCATGCTCAGCCGCATAGTTCAAAGTTCTTTTCTGTGGCTCCCGTTGGCCAGTATGAGCGTCACGTCCAAGGACGATGAGGACGGCAGATATCAGCAATGCCTGTAGCGTTAGTCATGCCAGTAAGTCAACAGCTTGTATTCAAGAAGTTGCTTGAGAATTCCATGTAGCAGCCAGCGCATGTTCCAGCTATCAGCAGTATAATTCTTGCTTTTCAGCCGTCATAGTCTCCCGGGAATGTGGAAATGGTAGCAGACATCAACAAAATGAGTTGGGGCAATGTTGGTTGAGATGCAGAGCGTGACGGCCACTGTCTTGGCAGAGGTGGAGCCCTTTGTGAGCTCCTCTTCTGGCACTTGGAGCAGCCTGACCTGCAGGCTGTGGCATTCCCCGGGTGCTGTCCCCAACCTGGCCCTGTGTTGAGAGGCGGTGGCTGCTGGCTGGCGGGGAGCTCTCGGTGTGCCTGGAGGAGGATCCCGCTTTGCCTAGGAGCCGACAGCGGCACCAAAGCTGCGCGGGCGCCCGGAGGAGCTGGTAGTGAAGTGAGAGCTGGTTGTTTCTGCGTGGCTATTGACCGTCGGCACAAAGCGGCGCTCAGGGAAGCATCTTTGGCAATGTAAATGCTGTATGTAGACAAGCCCTACGTTAAACTTACACCCCTGTGTAGACGTCCTTAAGTAATTAAAACCTGACGTACGCTGGTGAGGGCTGAAGTAGTGAGCCTGTGTTGCGGGGGTGGCTGTTGTGTTGCCACGTGCTCCTTTCTCTTAAAGATGGGAGATGTATTTGGAAAAAAGATTCAGATCAGAGGGCTGTCCTGGTTATTGGTTGTTTGTTTATGGACGTTTCCCTTCCATGCTGTTGTAGATGAGCACGATTAAGGTTCTTCTAAAGCAGCATCTGAGCCTTTTGTCAGTCTTCTGGTTCCCTGGCCATGCCACACAACTGTGCTCCAGCTGAATGCTGAGTTCTGTCCGGTGTTATCTCGGTTTGTGCACTCCCTTGTGTTTTTCTTCCCAGTGTTTGACATGTTGCAATGTTCCAGAGTGAATTAGAGGGCCGTCTATTCTAGAAAAACAAAGTTTTTGGGGCAGGCAGTAGCATTTGTGTATTCTCTTATCGTGGGTGGCCTTCAGTCTGCAGGGGGCCTTGAACCAGGAGAAGAACTGCCTGCGGACGCGGTTTTCCACTGCTGCGGAGGCTGTGAATACTTGTTTCACGGCGCAGCTTTCGCGTTGTTTATATTTGCAATTCCTAGGAACAAATTAAACCTCCAAACAGCAGAGTTCAAAACAGAAATTCCGTGTTTGTGCAATAGAAAGGATGTGTTAACTTCTGAGTAGGGCTGATGGCTTGAAAATTAATGTGCAGAAAGACAATCATTGTTTCTCTCATGTCTGATATCTGCAGTATGTGTTTTGATTGCAGCGCAGAGCTAATGGATGATGATACGTTATTTCTGTTCCTGCAGCGCGTCTCTCCGTGTATTTACTAAGATCGAGTTGCCAGTCTAAGTGCAATTCACACTACAGCATCGTGAGCATCAGTTACGCTAAGAATTGTTTATCATGTCATGAATCTGTAAGTTTTCACTTAACCATGAAAAGCTGCTGAGCCTGCAGGGTAGAGCTCGTTGGCGAGCTCCCCGTTGGGGATTTTGAAAGGCGTGTGTCCGCTGCAGCGACAGCAGGAACTCTGACAAGCCAAATTCAGCTGGATTTCGAAAGGATTAAAGATGCCCCTAAAGCTACAGATGCTGGAACAGCACCAAACTGCAAAAGCTTCCCAAATCAAGTACATCACCCCAAAAGACTTCACACAGCTTAAAAAAAAAAAAAAAAAAAAAAAATCAACGGAACAGTTTGTTCGTATATTAGACCAGAAAACCTGCAGGACTCATACCAGCCCCTTTCCCATTGGAGTCTGGAGTTCTGCACTGGCAATACTGGCTGAGGCGAAAGAATTGAGTTGGCTGTGTAGCTGAGAGATGTTTTATTTCCAGAAGTTTATAAAATCAAGCAGTGCAACACTATCAGCGATGGACCTGATTTTTAAGACCTAAAAGAAACCCAGTCCAGGAACTACAGCATGAATGAGAGAGGAGGCAATTTGTATTCTGTGTGCCAGCAAGGGGTGACACACGGTGTGTGCTCTGGAAACTGAATGCCCAGATGAATTCAGGTTTCTTGGTGAACGCCCCCAAGCAAGGTTACAGCAATGTGTTTCTGGAATCCTTCTGCATAGGTGGTCTTAGGAGGCTCCAAAACTGCATTTTGCATGGGACTGGTAGGATTTTCGGTGTGTGTGTGTGTATCTGTCTCATTATTTGGCTTGCAAAAAAAAAAAAAAGAAAAAAGAAAAAAAAGCAAGTGATTATGTGTCTCACAAGCAATGGTTTTCCCACGTAAGTTACCAGAAGCGAATATTTGATTTTTAAGCTACTGACATTTACTTGCTGTGTGATGGTTTAGCCTGTAACGCTGCAAACTCGGTTGAGAACTGGCTTATGTTAAATCAGTGGCTCTGCTATCCTTGTCTTTTATTTTGTCTTTTTATATTTGTAGCTGTAAATCTGTAGAGGGATTTAGAATAAAATTGAAGAATAAGCCATCTACGATCTTGCTGCTGATTTTATTTAAATAATGTATGAGACAGAATTTGAGTTTCTGTTTGCTTTTCCCAATGCACAAAAAACAAAGTCGGCGTATTACGGCTTACGTGGAGCAGAGGCAGCCTGTTATGGCCAGCTGGATCATGGAGTCTCAGACAGCCAACTGGAGCATGAATTTTATCTTATCTTTGCTGTAGTATCTTAACTCTAAGAAATTCCAGTACTAACTCTCCAAACTTTATTTGTTCTGCCTCACAAAAGGCGTACCGTGCCGGACGAGGTGTGTGGTTCTCGCATGTGCTTGTACGTTAGAGGAAAGATCAAAACTGAACAAACACACAGTCAGAAATGAACTGCTGGTGGGAAACGTAAATACGCGTTCTGTGCTTCCTTCTCGCTCTAGCTGATGGGTTGTTTCCCATGTCGTTGCTCATGTGTGTCTTTTCCCCTTTCAGTTACTATGTGGGCAAGCTGTTGTAACTGGTTTTGCCTGGATGGGTCACCCGAAGAGATGCAGCCGCCGCCGCAGCATGGAGCCAGAGCCCAGGCGTATTCCAACCCCGGGTACAGCTCCTTCCCCTCGCCCACGGCGTCCGAACAGAGCTGCAAGGCCTGCGGGGTGCACTTCGACAGCTCCTCCAGGAAGGTGGGTCGCAAACGTCTTCTCTGGCACTGCTGGCTTGGTTCAGCTTGGCTGCAGGATGCCAGCTGGCTGCCACTTAATCACAAAGAGCCAATTTGAAGAGAAACAGATGTGCATGAGAAGCCTCCGATCTGAATCCCATTTTTCCTAATATCTTCTAAAATATACGTTGTAGTACGAGCTGTCTTTAAAGCAGTGTCTGCAGTACTGCTCCAGTCATGGGAAAACACACTGACTGATGGGGCTGGGGAAAGCTCTGCTGGGCAAATTGTAGAGGATCTGCTAAAGCAATTGAAGACGTTTCTGCCCTGAGCAGACTTCCCTGTTTTCCTGCTGGCGCTGGCTGTCAGTGGAACTGGGGCAGCGGAGTACAATGTGTGCTTGTGTCCCGGCTGCTCCCATTCAGCGCAGACGGGCAATGAAAACGAGTTTGAGGTTTATATTCTGTCTTGTGAAGGGGGCCTCCTAAACCTTCCTTCCACCTTCCTTCTGCCACCACAGCCACTGAGCAGTGATCGCTGGGGCTGACTTGAGCGGGATGGCTGCGGGTGGCAAAGCTTCAACAGCTGCGGGAAGGTCTGCTGGAGCATCCGGCGGCCCTGGGTCTCCAGAAAGGGAGTGAATACGTCACTTATACCACACCGACGTGGTTGTAAGCCATATTAATTCTTTAATTCTGTTGATATGGACCAAGAAGTCTATGAAATCTCACTTTGTTGAAATGAGAGCATGGAAAACTCTGCATTCTGTCCAGAAGAGGCAGTACGTTTGCACTCCAGTGTCCAGCTCATGTTTATAATGAAATACAGGAGATAAATATTGCTTCCTTCCACACTGGTGACCACGAGGATAACCAAGATTGCTTTAAAAAACCCCAAAATCAACCAACCAAGAAAACCCCCAAAAGCAGAATGATGGTATCTGAAGTACTTGATCTATTATCATAACTGTAGTTTAATTTTCATATAACGTGGCACCTGCTAGAAGGATTTTGGGAGGGGGCATCTGAATGGAGCATGTGCTGGTAAGATGCTTTGAAGTAACTGTTGGCGCATCTTTAAAGGATGTAAAATTTAATCGTGGTAGCAAAAATCTCTGAGTTGTTTTGGTGTTTTCCTTCTCTTAGATGACTTTTTTGATCTTGAGTTTTCTGCAGCAAACCAATTTCACTAAATCTTTTAAATTTAAAACAAGTATTCTTCATTGCCCTCTCTGCTGGCAGGAAGCTGGGGCAGGCACTCCTGGTGTGTGCATCAGGTTGTTTTCCTTCGTCCCCCATTTTCTGGTTTCGGTGCCTTGTTTGGCTGACATTTTCAGGAAGATGCTTTTCTTTGCATACTTAGAGAAAAAGCTCCTGGCAAGCTAGGGTGTAAGATTAAAAAAAAAAACCCTGAACAACAGTAGCTGTAGTGAAAGCTTGAATGTTGGCATTTCTTCATTTTATCCTGCAGGCAGTGAAGAGCCAAGTGTGTCAAAGCCCCATCCTGGTATCTCTGGGAGACTAGCAAACAACCAGAGCAGCTTCCAGTCCGGCCAGGCTCTGATTTAAAGTCCTTCGCTCCAGTTGGACCGTTCTCTGATTGTGCTGCCAGTTAGTGAGCATCATTCAGAAGTGATCTGACCTTTCAGTAACGAGTTTTAATTTACAACAACCTTTGAAACTAATCGTTCTGAAGAGAGCGGTGTCTTCAATCATTGCCCTTTCTGTCAGAGTTCAACAGATATATTGAAGCTGTAAAAGCTGCTTAATACCGAGATGTGGCAGACAGCTTCCCTGCGTGTTTAAATACTTGATGCTCAGATACAGGCTGGGGAATTTTTTTTCTCTGAAGATGAATCCTAGCGGTGAGCTGATAAGCCAGAGACAAGCCCGGTTTTATTTTGACTTCTCCAATGTATCACTTGATAACTAAGGCAGACTTCTGTCATTACTGTTAATAACTTGCAAAAACCACGTTGGATAATGCTGCTCTTGTTCTGCGCTCACTTACGTGATGTCTGAACACGTCAGTGCTCCAGGAGGGGTTTTTTGGCTGGAGGGCCCTTGGCCATGCAGTGGTTCCCTTTGGAGCCAGTCTGGCACCTGCAGAGCACAGAGGGGGGGCTTCCCCTGCAGAGTAAACCTGGGTTGGTTGGATTTTGGGTTTATTTTTACCCCCCATTCTTCTTGCTGCTCTCCTGTCAGAGACGGGTGATTGAGAGAGGCGACAGTGGTGTCAGGGGGGTTATTTGCCGTTGCTCTGCCTTGGCGGCATGTTGGTTCCCCTGCTCCAGGCACAGCCGGCCGTTCCCGTCTCTGCCCTGAAGGGTTCCCGGGAAACGGGATTGCTCCCGCAGTCGTAGCATCAAAAAAAGTCAGTTACATGCGAATATTTTTGTAGCAAGCAAGTTAAGGAAAACTCTCAGAACTGGATGGTCTGTGGCGATGGCCCTTACTGTCTCGCTTTGTGCTGGATGAAAGTCACCTTCACTGGGCAGGTCTCCGGGCAGCAGTTTTGGGATGAGGTTTCAAGTTTGCAGGACCAGAGATTCTCTCCATGGTAGAAATTGTCATGTCTTAAAACGCCCAGGCAGGAAACTGGGATTCTTTCCAGTAACTGTCACTGTAGGTCTGTTACCGGATCTGTGGGTGTAACTGTGTGTGGGGCGAGGGGCTGCCAGGCTGGAAGGGGTAAGCAAGTACTGTATTTACACCTTTTAGAACAGGAGAAACATTTTCCTTGAACTGGGAAGTCAAAAATGCTCTTTAATCACTGGAAGCAATTAATGAAACAATTTTTTGGTCTCTGAGTTTCTATTTGTTGCTTCTCTAACTCTGCGTATGCGTTTTTCCGTGCACAGCTCTGAAGGCTCAGGATGCCAGGATTTCATAGGGATGCTTGTCTTCTCTGAGCCTGTGAACTGGCATTTTTAACCAGCACTGAAATCAGTTCTTTCTTCCCTCAGGACTCTTTAAAAAGCGCGTTAAGGCGGCTGTTCTGCTGCTATTCCTATTGGAAAATGTTGAATTTGACTTTCCAAAGTGTTGAACAGTCAAGTTTTGGCAGAAGTCAACATGGACTGCGAGTGTTTGGAACTTCTGAAAATTGAGCCCTGAGTGATGAGACCAGAACTGTATAAAATATAAACATTGAACAACAGAATTTAATCTGTCAAGTTTTTAAACATCTGGGGCCTGATATTTCCGAAACTTCCAACACTTTCTGTCTAGCACCTAACTGGCACACAGGGTACATTTTATTTTCAAAATCATCTGGCTATTTTAGCTGCATAAAGAAATGTTGAATTCTTTGATGTCTGTCAGATGTCTGTGTTTTCCTTTTCCTCTTACAGTGAAAAAAAGATTCATTTAGGGATTGCAGCAAATTGGAGGGCCTGATATTTCCGAAACTTCCAACACTTTCTGTCTAGCACCTAACTGGCACACAGGGTACATTTTATTTTCAAAATCATCTGGCTATTTTAGCTGCATAAAGAAATGTTGAATTCTTTGATGTCTGTCAGATGTCTGTGTTTTCCTTTTCCTCTTACAGTGAAAAAAAGATTCATTTAGGGATTGCAGCAAATTGGAGGAAAAAAGGGGGGGGGGTGTCAGTCATTTATAGCAAGTGGTAAATTTATGAAACAGAGCAATGTTTTTAAGTAGTTTGTTCCAGTGCTGGAGCTCTGTTAATGCACAGTTAATGTTAATGCATTGTTTTCTGAAGCAAGGCACCAGCAGCTGTCATTTACTGGGAAGTCTGCTGCCTCTCAGGTATCTCCTGATTTCATCTGTGGCTTAAACTGGATGAACAGATCTGGGATGAGGTGCAGAGAACTCCTGTCATTTGAGGGAATTGTTTAAGAATCCAGTATTTCATCTCGAGTCAATGGAGTGGAAATAGTGCTTTTCTAGGAACTGTGAAGAATCTAGTGATCTGCTCCTGGGGTCGATCCTTCTCCTCATCTAGGAACATGAATAACATACTTGGCACTTTTTCATAAATGAGCAGGTTTTATACGCTTTCACAGAGGCTGTTATTTACTTTGGCTTCCAGACAGAAGGGGAGCAGCGCCCGCGGTCATTGTGCACCACGGTCGCAGGTCACGGTGGATCGGTTTGATTCTGTTCCCTTCTCTTTACCAGCACATCTGCTTGGACTGTAAAAAGAATTTTTGTACGTCCTGCTCCAACCAGCCCGAAGGTGGTCCCCTCCTCTGCCACCTGTGCCAGCGGTTCCGAGCCACAGCTTTTCAGCGGGAAGAGCTGATAAAGATGAAGGTGAAGGACCTGCGAGACTATTTGGCACTCCGTGAGATTTCCACAGAGTTGTGTCGTGAAAAGGAGGACCTGGTGTTTCTGATTCTTGGCCAGCAGCCTGTAATTAACCAGGAAGATCAGATAAGAACAAATCCATTTAATCCTAGTGCCTCTGGACAGCAGGACTTTGTGATTCTCCCACCAACCAGCACAGCATCTTCTACCTCACGTGATGCATCTCCCGTGGCTGCAGACCCCATCTCAAGTTCACTAGCTCAGGTACATCAACAGGTACGGTCTCTAGCCAGAAGCATCTTTTGCAAACGCGTTCATCTTTATTTTTGGATTAACTACTAAGATGTTGCATGAGGTTTTCCAGGTAGATAAAAAAGTTTTATATTAAAGCTGCCTGCTTAAAAAGCAAGGATGGATTCTGTTTAGAACAGATGACAAAATACTTCAGTTGCATTTTATACATTCTCTTCTGGGGTTTGTTTTTAATTTTGAAGTGAGGACCTCACGCTTTCTTACAGAATAATTAGTAAAGTGAGTTATTTTACTCTGTCTTGTGTAAAACTGTGAGTTGCAGTTGCCAACATTGATGTGCTATTCCCTTCCTACACTAGTGGAATTTAACTTGCTGGGCAGTGCTGAATATGTTGAACGTTCAGAGAACAACATCACTGCTTTGAGATGTGTTTTCCCTGCTGCTCTGGCCCACACTTGCCATCACTGGATACTCCTGTGCCCGCTTCCTTCGGTACTCGATGCCTGTGTTGGTGCACAGACCGATCTGGTGTGTTGATGACTTTCTGGCAGTTATACGTAGGTGTTAGATGAACTGGTTATTATTGTTCTTTAATTCATGTGCAAGACAGTGAGCAGCGTTTAGAGCAGTTTAACTGAACTGAAACTGATGAGAGGGATGATTGCAAGGTGGGGGAGCTGTTTTAGTGTCTTCTGCACTCAGAAGACAAAACCCGCGTCTGTTGTTAGGTCTCAGTGTATGATGAACCTTGCAGTTCTAATGAACCTTGTCAGGGCACTGGAGCTTAATTATTTTTTATTGACTTTGCTTTGTTTGTCTTTCTGTTACCTGCTCTGGGAAGTTTACTCAGTGTTTGACATCTGCTCCTAGTCCTGTTACAGAGCTAAGGTGTGTATTCAGGTCCCTGTGGACCAGAGCTGTGAAGGTGTGTATCTGCTCCCTCACATCTAGGACAAAAGAAGAGTTTTCCTGGGAGGACATTTTTTACAAATCATTAAAAGGCCTTTTCACTCTCTGCCTTTCTGCATATCACCATTCCAGTTTTTACCACCAGACTCAGCTGTTGTCTTCCCTCCCTGCTCCATGATACATTTCAGCTTCTTGCCTCTACTTGCACAACATCCTGCTACAGTCCAGGCTCTCTCATCGTTATTATTCCTCTGTTTTGTAAATATTAACAAGTCACCACTTATCTAAGCGGGATGGTAACATGACCAGTAGGGAAAGCACAGAGGGGAATGACAGCTGCTGAGTTACAGCTAGAATTACACTGCAGTTCCTTTACTTTCATTAAGCACTCAATGCAACGGCCCCTTCCCACTCTCCAGCTTTGTTGCTGCTGGTCCTTCACTTGGTGTCTCCCACGTGTCCAGCCCAGCACCCAGCCCAGGAGCTGGTTCTGTGTGGTTACTGTGAAGATGACCTGTGGGCTCTGAGCTGTGTCCCAGAGCAGTCTTGTGCCGAGCCTGGCACTGGCACCGGTGCCATCAGCGCTGTGACATCACACCACGGCCCACAGCAACGCTTCACTGAAGGATTGCATGTGTACACCTGCATAAATTTGGTCTCCTCCTGACCCAGCCTCCCAAGAACATCATGTGGGATCTGGCTGTACAAGTACTCTAGCAGGTTTTAAATAAATGGGGTTTTAAAGGTGCTGCACTTGAGTTTCAAAAAGTTTTACTTGTTTGGTTTTTTTGTAAGAGCTGCACAGGAGATACCTTCTGCGAGTGTGCTCACTTCTACCTCGTGCCGCAGCTCATCCTTCCAGCGGGCAGGGTTTGCAGCTGTGCTCAGCTGTGGAGCTCGTTCCCCTTTGGACATGCAGATGCCCCGTTGGTGAAAGCTTTGTTTCCTCTTCCAGGCAAATGGTTACGTGCCTCCGAGCCACGGCGGTATGACAGGAGTTGAGAATGCAGCAGAAGCGCCAGCAGAGGAGGAGACACAGGTCTGTGTGTCCAGACATTAGATGACGAGGAATGCCAGGCTTTCTAGGCTGTATTTGCTACCACAGAATCATCACTGCTAAACAGTAACTCAGACTGAGCACTGGCAGACCCCACTGACCCCTTTCTTTGGCATCATTGTCCTCCCCATATAGAAAGAAGCGGTGTCACTTGGACACTATAATAGAAATTATTTATTTCCATCCTAGGACTTGTGCTTGTGATAGATGGAGGAGTTCACAGAGTAATCAGTTATATGTACACATCCAAACGTGAATTCCTGCTAGTGCACACGTTGAAAGTTGATTTAAATGGTAGTGCTTGGTGTTGAGGGCAAGAATCATCCCATCTTTGCTCCCTTTCAGTCTACTGACTCGGAAGATAACCTGGTGCTGGGGAGGAAGGCTTCTCTTTCCGATCTAACAAGCATCGGAGACATCAATGCACTCTCTGTGCGACAGCTGAAGGAAATTCTCGCTCGCAACTTTGTCAACTACAAAGGCTGCTGTGAAAAGTGGGAGCTGCTAGAGAGGGTGACTCGTCTTTATAAAGAGAAAGACCAGCAACATCTAGGTAAGAAATGTAGCAAACGTGGGCCCGTTTTCCAGGTTTTCCTTTTCTACAGACAATTGCAGAAGGAAATAGAACTTATATTTCTGTTTCGTGCCAGTGAGGAGAAAGGAGGGAGTGTTGTGCACGTGAGAGTGAAAGTAGCTAAACTCTAGTCACTGCTGCTTGTAGTTGTCTAAGAGGAGAGCATTATGGTGGCTCTGGAGAGGGACTTTTCTGTAGTAGCAACAAACGAGAACTATGCACCCTTCATCTCGGGAGTCTGTACAGCTGTGGCTGGCCCCTGCGTCCCCCAGAGCAGCTGATGCGGGACCAGGCGGATGACTGGAAGGCTTTTGATCCTTGTCTCTTCATCACTGGTGCCTGTGCGTGTGTCTCAGCTGTGCTCAACAATATTGGTGAGATTGTGCAACACCAAAGGGACTGGCACAAGAGGTGACTGAAAGTGGATTTCTAGGAAGGCAAACACTGCATAAATTCCAAGGCTGTCTTAAAAATTGAGGAATCCCTTCAGATAGTTGCTTATCTTTGTGAAGCATTAGCTATTGTGTAAGCTCAGTAAAAGAGAGAGTTTTTTGCCAGTTAAAGAACCTCTCCTGAGCAGAGAATCGGCTTGAACCCCTGCATGGGGATTACCAAAAAGCAGCTTGGGTTTTACGTCCCTTCAAGGCTTTCATCTCCTGTTTAATAGTACCGCATGAGTAATTTTTTCCCCCTATTTCTTATTCTCACCAAATAACTTTATTTTCTTATGTTGCAGTTTCTGACACTGACGATCAGACCGGTAAGTGACATTCTTAATGTTGCTTCATTCACCTCATTGCCAAGGATGTCAGTGGTATTTGTGTTTCCATCACACAGAAAATACCGTGTAAAACTTTCTGCTCCTCGCTGGTTGCTGGCGCAGATACATCCATGTTAGGTAGATACAAGGGGAATTTTTTTCAGACCTTCCGTGTGCAGCACATTAGGAAGCCCTCTGATAAAGACAACTCGCAGATTGCACAGAACTCATGCAAACCCTGGTCTCTTGTTTACTCAGGTGGTGCTGGGCTCCCTGGCATGGAGGACAACCTCTGCAAAATCTGCATGGACTCACCCATTGACTGTGTCCTGCTAGAATGCGGCCACATGGTCACTTGCACCAAGTGTGGGAAGCGGATGAGCGAGTGCCCCATATGCAGGCAGTACGTGATAAGGGCTGTCCACGTCTTTAAGTCCTAAGCATGTGTAAGGAGGACTGGGGATGCCTTAAAGCCTCATCTGCTCTTAGAGAAACAGTCAAAATCGCTGCAAATAGTTAGGTCAGAGATTAGCATATGGACCCCACGGGAAGCTGGAAGTGAGGGATGGACGAAGCCTGGGGAAAATCGTTCTTGCTCAAGCCCAGCTGTGCTCTTCCCACTATAGTGCTTTACACCACAGTGCCTGGACTCCTTGGACCTTATTGCCAGCTGCAGACACAGCAATCGTTAGCAACCTACATTCTGGAATAACTTGATCCACTAGTGTTGGGGTTAGACGGATGCTTGGCTTTCCACCACAAAGATCAGATTCGGAGGCTTCATATTTTCCCCTGAATAATAAACAAAAGTGGACTGGGGTCTCAAAAAGTGACATTTGTTTTGTGGTTTTGGTTACACACCCAGCAACAACTTTATTTTCAAAGAATTAAATTTTACTGTGCTTTTTTTTTTTTTTAATTTAATGTTAAATTCTTATGCTTGCAGGCCAGGCAGACTGCCTCAGATTTCCATATTCAGAGTAAGCATAATTGTAGCATAGTGCAAGTGTGGAAAAATGTATAATTTTATTTGAAGATGGACTTTGTATTATTGAAAAGTGTAAGGGGAGTGAGACTGTGAAACATACAGCCTTACCTTGTGTGGTGGTGGTTTTCTGTTTACATGCCAGCAAGAGAGAGATTTCTAGTTTGACTGTTGCTGATTCCTTATACGCCAGCAATCGTTTCAAAACTGAACTGACTTCACTTGATTAAAGAGCTACGAATGTAAGGCTTGAGTCTTTTAGAGTGTTTAGTGTGGGAAACACACAGCTAAGGAGTAGTCAGGAGTCCATTGCTACGCAATCACATTTAACTACAGGTGACTTTTTCTTTTTAGAAGGGAGACATGAGAGAAAGCAAACTGTCTCCCTCGAATCAGTGAAATGAGTGATCATCCTTGCAGGTGCCTCTGTTTACTAATGAGCTTCCCCCTTATCCTCCCCTTCCCAGTCCTGTTATGTTCAGACTGCTCTTCAAAAACCATTTATTCTGTACTTTCTGCTTGTGAGGGTGGATAAGAGGTTGATAGTTGCAAGCCCTTACAGCTGTCCTCATCAACAAACAGCGTGTTCATTTGGAAGCCTTCTTGCTAGAGAAAATTGTAACTGTTTCCCTCAGGTGCAAGCATTCAGTCCACCACAGCTAAGCTTCAGAATCTTGATGCCTTAACTTTTCAGCCACCATGGGATTGTATACTCATTTCAAGTCACTTGTGAAGTTAAATACCTTCTGCTGCAGGTTTTCCCTGTCTAGTTTTCCCCTTTAAGGGGAGGTGATCGCTTAGTGTTCAAACTGAGTGGCTGCCAGCAGAGGAACCGTGTCCGCTTGCAGCTTCTGGAGCAGTGGAAGTGCAGTTACAGACACGATCACCAAAGGTACCTGCTTTTGCAATAAGTGGTAACATAAGTTAACAGCAAAATAAACTTCTGTAATATTGCATGAGTAGCAACTCCTCAACTGGCAGGGAGTGGAGGGTCTCTACTCAGCAAGTTGGAATTAATAAAACACTTCAGAGGAAGAAATCTGTCACTCAGTAGGTAGCAGAACCTCTGCACTATCGAGGTGGTCTCTGAACTCCACAAAAATGTGGCAGCTGCTGAGGTTTATTGAACTAAAAATTCCAAGTTTTATTTTTTCCCTGTTCAGGTTGTTCTCTAATCTTTGGCTTACGGTTTAACAGCTTCCAGCATGAGAAGAGTACTGGTACAGTTCAATGCATCATGTTAAAAAAAACCTGCAGGTAAGCAGTAAGTGTATTTACTCTTCAGGAGAGTCACAGGGAACTCTTAAAGAGGTCCGGGAATACACATCAAGGTGTTGAACAGCCTCATTTAGTAAATTCACTGTGAAAATTCATGTTGTCATATTTTTCAATAAACTCAGGGCTGGGGGAATTATTCCCCTGTGGACAGATGTACTTTTAACAGTAGAGGGTAGGCTTATTTTCTACAGCAGATAAGTTGCAGATCAATGCCTGAAATATTACAGGTGAGAAGATGTATCCAGCATGACTCTGAAATGTGCTTTCTGAAGGGAGGACTCTCTCTCTTTTTTTTTCTTTTTTTTTTTTCTTCCCTGACTACAGTGTTTCACTTGCAAATACAGATTCTCTACTATGGATATGATTGTTTTTCAAGGAAAATCAAAATCTGGAGAAAACTGATTAATGATCCAAAGGAATATAATGATCTGAACTAATAAAGTAAATAGAAATATTTATGTGCTTTATGTACACTGTACATTGTTTAAATATTTTAAAAGTTAATATTCTACTTGAAAGGGCATGTTATTCTCTATTAAATCCTCTTGGTACTATGATGGTTAAACTTACTAGTTTTGGTACAGAAGTTTGGTTTATAATTTTATAATAAAGTTGAAATGTGATTTAGTTAACCTTGTTTTCTGACTCTGCTGCCACCAGGCTAGGAGAAAGCAGAGATCCTACAGCTATTTCTGAACTTCAACGAGAAAAGGCTGGGGGTACTGTGTGCTTAAATATCATTAGATGGTGAAGTACAAGTAGGGAAGAGGTTGAAGGAACAAGTTAAAATGCTAGCCTTTTGGCAGTACAATCTTAACTTTATGAAGACTACTACCCTGAGAGCACCCTCTGTCCTCTGGAGACTAATGGAACCAGTAACCTGGTCAACTCCCTTTTCCTTTCATAATGTCCACATGCCAAATAGTTCAGTTAGAATGAACCTCTGTTTCTGAAACCCATCTCATTGCATTAATATCCAAGTACTTGCAGTAGTTTTGAAGAGCTTCAGAGAAGGTCGTCTCTCAGCTGTCCTAAAAGAGCCGGAGCTTTCACTTGTTGAAACATGAACAGCAGAACACACGAGCAGCATATTCTAGAAAAACAAAGGCTCCAAGAGGATGCTGCTTGGCTAATGCTGCAGCAGCTGCTGTAATGGAAGCGTGTCTGTTTTAATATGAAACCTAGGGCAAAGGTGTGAACTGCTACTGGATCCAGACCCATGCTGAATGTCAGAAGACAGGCAAGAGTCAAGGCAGGAGGAGGACGCGTCCTTCATGTAAATTGTAGCCATGCAGCAAAATGATCCTGGCAGTACAGCCAGTAGTTTCACGTATGTGGTGGTCTGTTTTCCTGTCCAGGCAGAGAGTAACCTTTGGAAAGTAAGTCCTGACAGCAAAGGAGAAACTGCTTCAGTTTTATTTCTTTATCTATAAAAATACCCAAACTTTAAAAACCCAAGGAGACTACACCAGCCCCTAGATAAGTGCCCTGGTCTACATTATGGGCAGAAAAATGGATTCAGCACTGACATTTCTTCAGAGAGTCATTTTAATTCATTCCGTATGCTTGCCATGGATCTTTATAACTACCTCTGATGGACTTAGGCATTTTATTTCTATCCGTGGCTCCGCCGAGGACTCCCTCTATTTCTTCCACCTACCTAGTTCTCAGCTGTTGCCTTGAGGGAATTCTTGTGTCAAGGCTGGTCAGCTGCCCCGCAGCGCTAGCATGGGGCAACCAGTCTCCGCTTCCGGATGCATTCCCAGATCCAGTTGGGAGACACACGCTTAGCACCAGGATTCTCATCAATGTCCCCTATAACATGCGTTGCTGAGGCTGTGTCAAACTCCGGCACAATATCCCCATCATATGCGATAAAGTACCGCCGGATTTTGTCGAAGTCCTTCACGGAGGGCGACAGGTAGAGCTTCACCCCAGTGAATATGTCCAGCAGCGGCTGCATGGTGTGAGAGAGGATGAGAAGCACAGGTTGGTAAAACATGAGGTTGGTCTGGAAATTACACTGAATTCTTTGAGGCATGAACAAGTCCATTCACAGTTCCCAAGGTTATCATGCTAATCCCATGCCTAGTAACTGTAAATTGCTCTTTGGACTGCCCTTAAATCCTACACAAGAGCAGCACCCTCCCCTTCCTTCAAAAGCCAGATCTCACAGCTAACAGTGCCTCCCTAGCGCAGGGAAATTACTGCCCCATCATTACCCTCTGTGATGATGCTGATGTGGGTCCAGTAAACCTGATCTTAGTGTCTTTGTCTTCACAAGCTGATGCTCCTTAGTTAAAGTAGGAGAACATAACCACCCTGGGAGGGGGCTTGCTGTTTACATCAAAATAGCCACTCCAGGCTCATCAGGAAATTATAGCGCAGAGATTCTTAACCCACTCCTACAATTTGCTGCCCAATGGGCTAAAAAGGACAGTGCTCTCCATTTACAGCTCCCAACTCTTCCAGATGCAGCAGTTGGGAAGAGTAGCTGCTCAGCAATCACACTTTGTGGAGGACACTGTTGGTGGGTGAAGAGAGTACTGGCCTTTGGCGTGACAAACCCAGTTACTGCAGACAGGAAAGCAGAGCTGCAGCCATCTGTTTCTTTTACAAGGGGGCTTGTTGCTGCTGTTTCTGCCTTTATATTTCATTTTAATTTAGAGTGCTGCTATAGGAAGATTTCAAAGACATTCCAGATGGAAGGCAAAAGTGAACAGACAGTTGAAAATGCCTCAGCTCCCTCCCACCCCAAAGTGTTTGCTCTCCAGCTGTCTGTACCTTTTTTCCGTTGTCATCCATCTCAGATGCTTTTCTCTTCTCCCCTCGTTTCTCCTCTGATTTTTGAGGGGATCCAATGACTGCTTTGCTCTCTAAAAACAAAAGCTTGTCTCATTTGTGCTCTCTGTAGATACTGGTTGTGTATTAAAGCGGGGGGAGAAGGCTTTTCCCTCCCTCTTTCTGTAAAATCCATGAAGCAGAATGTAACCAGTAAGACACATTTTTCTACTGCAAATGCCGAGGGGCATCTTCCTGCCCTCATCTCCAGGATGTTGCTGTTCAACTTCCCTCCTTGCTAGCACCACGCTGCTTTTTTGAGACTGCTCATAAATTTGCTACAAGTTATTTCCCTGGTGACAAAGTGCTGTTGAAGCAAACTCATTTCACAGCTTTGCAATTTACTACCTGGAAATCCCCTCCATCCAGGTGCCCTGTTATATGCATGAATTTCATCCAAATAAAATTAAATAGTGGTTTATAGACAAAAATGTCTAACCACAGGGCATGTCATCTGCAGGAATGGGAGCAGCAGGTTTGCTGTTCAGACCAGTCTTACACATTCTGCTAAGGACCTTGATCTAGTAAGATTAAAAGGGACTGCTGTCC